AGCAGCTTTCGGAGCCCCAGGGCACCAGCCTTGCAAGGCTGAGCTCTTCCTGCTGCCAGGGTTAGTGATTCAGCTGGGAGTCACTGGGGTCTGCAGGGGCTGAGGCAGGTTAATTATTAACTTGCTCTACCTGTAGGATGAGGCATCCGAGACAGAGGGAGAGAGCGAGAGAACATGTCAGGGCACTTGCGCTGCCAGAGACCCGCTGCTTCGCCAAACCCTGAGAGAAACCAGGTTTCCGATGATCGGCACTGCCTCAAACCCGGCGGGATAGCTGAGCTAACGGAAACGGTGCTGATCAGGATGGGGCTGGGGGAGGAGAGTGCTTGCCACCGGCACAACCCAGCCAGGGGGGTAAAGAGCTGGCTGGGGAGGATTGCAGAAGAATGATAAATGCCAGTTCCCTTTCATTTGAGGCATCCCAACGGTTTCGGGGGGTGCATGGGCCAGGGAGGTAAGTGATGCTCGTGGAGGAGCTGTGACAGCTCTAGTCCCCGACCCTCACAGGACACCATGGGGTTCCCAGTGCCGCTTTTCGGGGGATGGCCAGGTGCAGGCCATGCTGGTGGCTCTAAACCTGTCTCAGAGAGGACAGGGATGCACTTGTGGGTCTGAGCCCAGAGACGTCTGGGATTCAGCAGAAAAGATGTCCTCCGCATCCTGGGAAATTGCTGTTGTACCTAAGCAGATGATCAGGAGTTTATGGGAAGCACCGTCAACCTTACAGAGGGTTTTTGTTCCAAGTGAGAAAGTCTGAGCCAGCCCTAGTTCTCCAAGTGGGGGACAAAGAAACTGTAGAAATTGGAGATGGACAAAACAGATGAGCTCATGCCCAGTCCCCCAGGCTCCCTCTGTGGCCAGGGCAGGATGGTGTCTGATGCCACCTCTGTGCCACCCAGTGTAAGTGGCCTCGCAGAGAAAACCATGGAATTGGAGGTGGCAGCTGTGACCGCTTTGTCTGCCCATGCCACCTGCCTCGGCTGTGCCATCGCCTGCGCGCTGCCTGGGACCCGAGGTCTGACCCTGGCCCAGGGGCAGGCCAAGTCACAGCTCTGCCCTGAGCTTTAGCTCTGCAGCAGGAAAAACGGGGATTGTGGTTGTGACCGTCTTGGACAGTGTTAGAATGAAAAGCAGCAGGTAGGAGGTGGGCGTCATTGCTGCCCCTGGTGCAGCACAAACAGGCTGCGCTTGCTTTTACCGAGGATTTGTGCTAACTGTTGGATTTAATGATGTCCAGCTCCCTGCTGCTGCTCTCCTGAGATGTCGGCAGGAACCTGGGGAAAGCTGTGAGGGCAGTTCTTACACATACGCAAATGTTGTATTCATTTGGGGTTTAACAGTGGCACCCCAGTGAAGGACATAAAATTGCTAGAAAAAGACAGGAGACCTGAAAGACCTGAACAGTCCCATTTTTTCCTGCGAAACCACAATACCCGATCATGAGTGATGAGACTGCTGAGGCTTGAAAGGGTGGTGTGGCGCGGGCGGACAGGGCCTGCTGCGTGGAGCCTGCAGCTGAACGGGCGGCAGGAGATTTCAGTGACGTGATCCCCTTTTGTCCATGGTCTTGGAGATGCCCCCATGCTTAGCCACTAAATCCAGCTGTTTTCTCAGTCTTGCTGCAAACCCTTGCAGGCTGGCGTTGCTAGATGCTCGTTTGGGAGGGGGAGGTATTCCGTTTAATTTGTTTCTTGCTGCATGAACAGTGGCAGGGGAAGCTCTCCCGTTCCCTCCTGACCCCGGGAGGATCCCTGTGGAAGCTGGCGGGTTGGCTGAGCTCTTTGCCAAAACTGCTGCTGGATTCCCAGCTCTCAGGTTGCTTTTGCTTCTTGGGGCCTTAGTACTGGGGAATTTGGCTGCCACGTTCCAGGGAGCAGCATCGCCCAGGCAGCTGGTAGCTGGGGTTGCTGCTTATTGCTGTCTCCGTAATTTCCTTACTTTATCCTCTCCCCCCTCCCTGTTGCTGCTTGCTGCCCTTATCCAAGCAGTGTTTTGGTTTTGCTGCCACAGCTGTCAGGTGATCGGTTGCTCTTTGTTCTGACAGCGGCTTGTAGCACAAATGTAATCTTTTCCTATGCTTAATTGCCTCTCAGCGAGACCATTAATTGGCAGCCAGTAAGTTCCCACCTCCAGGGGAGGACCTGGGTAGGCATTTCACTGCGTGGGAGGGAGAGAGCTGGAGGGAGACTTTGAGCAGAGAAGGGGTTAACTTGTGTCCTAAAAAGAGTTATCTAAATTCAGTGAGGCCCTGGAAGGAACCCCAAGCTTTGCAGGTGAAAGGGTCCCGGCAGCAGTAGGTTCCTGTTACCGGTTCACCAGCTCCCCTCCGGCCTGAGCGCTGCCGACGTCCCTGGCATCGTTAGGAGAGGGGTTAATCTCATGCCGGAGGGGTGAGTCATGGAGGCCCCAGCAAGACAGATCTGGTTAGCTCTGCTGGCTCTTCATTCATCACGGGGCTTACGCAGCTGTCTCCTTGGCACGGCGCGCTGGGAGCGGGCACACGCGGGCCAGACAGGTTGGGCGGCGGGGAAGCGCTGGCTGCTGGAAGCCCCCGGCTCTGCGGGGTGAC